CGGCGCTTGAGGTCCCCCCCGACAGCGTGCTCCTGCTGCAGAACATTGGGGCCGTGGGCAACCCGGGCATGCCCGAGGCGGGTCTCATTCCCATTCCGAGAAAGTTGGCCGGCCAGGGCGTGCTGGACATACTTCGCATCTCGGACGGCAGGATGAGCGGCACGGCGGGAGGGACCATTGTTCTTCACATTTCGCCTGAAGCCGCGGATCCCGAGTCCGTGCTGGGCATTGTCAGGAGTGGCGATGTCATCACCTGCGACGTAGAGGGTCGGGTGATCAGGGTGGAGATTTCAGACGAGGAGATTCTGAGGAGGTTGAAGGAGAAGAAGGAAACGCTGGAAAGGGAGGAGGCCAAGGAGGGCGCGACACCGGGGTCTTGGACGGCGAGGAAGACGATCAGGGGGTACCGGGGGCTCTACATGAGATCGGTGAACCAGGCGCAGCAGGGCGCCGACTTTGATTTCTTGACGGCTGCCGGGCCGCCTGCAGGACAGGAGTAAGATGGGGGGACAGATATATAACTTGAACGTTATCTAGCAGTATACTGAATACGTACTTGGATCCTCGTGGTTTCCCTGTAAGTTTTACAAGCCGGAACTCTGGGTGCGAGGCCATTGGGTTTTCTCTACTTCTTGCGAACTTATCTTGTCGAAATATCGAGGCCACTAGATCACCTATCAGGATGCTAAGGTAATGGCCTCAATGGTACGAATAGAGATGAGGATATGACATCGGAGCATTAATAGATTACAAAGTTTCTTCCGCACTGTCTCATCGTTATTGTACCAAATTTTCTGGAGTCGTTTCTTGTGATGGTCAGGTTTTGAGAACACCTGTACGAGCTCCCTGTCGTGAGACACGCGAATCCACTAGGCTGAAAACCACAGAGCTCGGTTACTTTGGTGCAGACACTGTGATCTTCCAACAGTAGAATAATTCAAACTAATGACTGGATACGCTGAGCAGTCCTCGTCTTGAATGGTGGCTTCGAACGTGCAGAGTAAGCAGCCTGAAGACCTCCACGCTGTTACGGGATGAATAGCTATTTCGAGAAACGAAATCTTTAATACGGACGAGGAATACATTTATACCTTTCGCCGAGACAAACCGAGTGCAGAGTAGGCTTGGAGGGACTTTGTTTCAGAATTCGCCAAACTTGGCTCACAGGCGTAGCCGACACAAGCAGGAATACTTGCGAAAGCAGGTTCCAAGGTATAGAAGTAAGAGGCGCCTTCTTCAAGTTCTTATAAAGAAGAGAAGTTCGCTTCTTCTGCTAGTAGTCGCGTTCTGCGAAGCGTCGCTTTCTGTGATGTTTGGCGTGGGCAGCGTTCATAATTGCAACTTTGATGCGTTCCGTGGCCCTCACTTCGAATGTGTCACCCCAGAGGGGACCGGTGGGGATTTTTTTGAGCAACACCTTTTTGTTTGCGGTCATGTAATTCGTAAAGATATTGACATATAGATGGGCTAGACATCCTGCCAAGTCGATTAAGGCGCGTGCAGAGTCTAGGTCTAAATACTGATTACTTTATAACGTGACCAATACTTCTATGCTCTAGGTAGGCTTTGAGAACATTACCTCTGCGGGGGTACTCATTGTATGGCAAAAATAATATAGCGTTAAGAGGCGGTGTTGAGGGAGCGATCTTACGCGAGTCTCAAGCCATGTCATCGCTTGGCGATGACTTTCACTGGAGCCTGACATGCAGGTTGCACCAATGCCTTATCGACGTTCCACGCCTCCATATGTAGCCAGCTGCGGCAGGCCGCCTGAAAAAAGGAGGGGATATGGTGTCATGGATCTGCCGCCCCAATTTCACTTTCGTGTTTCTCCACACACGCTGGCATCGTCGTACTGAACCGCTACCCTCCTTCATTCCAATTATTCAGTTCCTCATCTCCGAGATGCCTTCTTCTAAGAAGCCTGGTGTCCGTTTGGCGAAGTACGAAAAATTGATCTCCAGATTCTTCGAGGCCTTGATACTGGCATCTTTGGTCAAAAAGTGCCACGGCTCACATGTCACGATTAGACACGACCTCTCCACAATCGTCGGCATCAAGCGGAGGTTTCTCACGAATCTTGCGTTTCTGTGCGACTGCACCAAAGGAGGACCGAGCACCACTGCGATTTCTGTTGAGAATCGGCAAGATTGCTTTGTGATGTGGCTCGCTTCAAATGAGGGAGTGTCTCCCAAGATGACCTCATTTGTCGAGTCCGTATTAAACGACCTTCGCGCAGTACCGAGCATGGGAGAGAGGCAGAGCCTAGAAGCGTCTCTTTTGCAAAGAACGGCTGTGTTCGCCCATGCCAGGGTTTTCAAAGAATGGAAGATGCTCGTGAGATTAGCCGGCAAGGCGCTGACTGTTCTGGCTGAGGTGGCACATCAAGGTGTGTAACCAGCAGCATCTATAAACGAGACATAATAAGGCCCACTACATTCAGGTTGCAGCATGAAGCAGGCGATGAGGAAATTTGATCTGACACGGTATCCGAACAGACACTGCCCTTCAAGAATGGCTGAAGCAATTCCAGCTTCGCCGGGACCAGACTCCCATTTCTATTTGTCGACTCGCCTATGAAATTCGCCAGGACGAACAAATACACAACATCGAGGTCTTGCACAATTCGTTGAACGACACCTCGGGTCCCGATGTAGTCAAGCACCTGAAGTGGGTCGCTCACTTCGTCGGTCGTCTTGCTGCTCGTGTGAGAGCCGTCAAGCACCTCATGGATGACGCCGCCCGCTTGGAGCACGATCTGGAGAACCCTTGGATGGTGAAAGCGGTACCTCTACCACAAGCCACTTCCGTTCCTGAATCGGATAAGCACACAAATCTCCGGGGCATCCTGAATCGGATGATGGATGCCAGTGATCCGGAGCGTGAACGTCTCTTCACCTGCATCGATAAGATGGATCAAGCCTACTCGCTGATGGAAGCAATTCTGTCAAGACATGCTGATGGTAGCAACCCCTTGAAGCCAGTCATTCATTGTGAGATTCAGCTCATCGATCACTTCCATGACCACCAGCTGTCCTTTTGGGAAGAGAATCCATACGTCGCATGCAGCAAGCCGACCTGTCTCTTGTGCAGGCTGTACATGAAGCACCACCCCATCCCATTTGAAGAGACTGATTCTCACAACAATATTCCCACCAACTGGAGTCCGGCCTTCCTTCCCTGCGGTATCAATGATTCTAGGTTCATATGCCAGCGGAACACCCTGAATGCCGTTATCAGAGCCATTCGTGGTCCGATCTTAGTGCAAATAGGCAGAGCGAGCTGCTCTAGCACATTTCATGCCGATTCTCTAGATCAGATCACGCAACCTGACTACGACCCTTTTGACCACCTGGACTCGGACAGCACCTCTCTGACGGAAGTCGAGGACTATGGTAAGTAACGAGAGAAAAGCGTTAACGTGGAAGGTCAGTCTCGTTAATATGATCTGGACCAGATTTGGATTTGAAGCTTGATGAAGAGGTAGATTCAGGGTTGGAAGACCATTCGGGAATCGAAGGAGCTTTTCCTCAAGCATGTCATGATGTGTTCAATTCCGATTCCGATTCCGATTTTGATTCCGATGGGGGCGCAAGGTTGTAGAATAACCTAGCTTACCGATTTGACGCTTTGGAGCGTGGCCAACTGGACTTGGAAATCTCGGTCTGTATGAGCGTTTCGAGCTGCTCAAGTACTCAAGCTGATTGACTACATATATTTTGCATAATCTTGTGGGAAGCTGCAGAGCAAAACATCAAAATATTAATAGTAGACTGCTGTAAAACTATCCGCTATCAACCAAAGTGCTTGGTTCTCATATGATCCAAGAGGTTGTCATGCCTCGTGAAAGATATTTCAGGATCAACACAAATGGAACACCTAAATCGCTCCCGCCATTCCGAATACAAATGCGTCTTCAGGTGTTTCTTCATATCGGCTCTCTCTGCAGTCCTGACAACGACACATACATTGCATTGAAACGGCCGAATATGGGTTTTGAGGTGCTTCCTTGAGATAGAAACACGGTCAGTGACAGTCTCAACGAGATGCTACCACGGGCAACTTCTGACTCACCTTGCCTGTCCTTCTTTGGATTCCGAATGACAGCAAGGAAGACCAGCCCGGGTGAAATGACCGGCGCAATAGATGCGCCCATCATCATGCATGATTACATGATCTTGCAACGGGGGCATACTAGATACGGTGTACTGATCAAGCAAGTTCGTAGACTCAGCCTGTACAGGAGGAAAAGTGTCATCTAAGGTGCATGACGAAAGTGAAAGTTCAAACGATTGTGTGTTAGCATGATCACACCTGGCTATGGTCAAATTTGAATGATGCCCTGTCGTTATGTTCGTAGTAGCCTCATTGACTCTCTGGAGGGGATTTCTCTAGAGAGTAGGAGAGTCGTTGAAGCAACGAACTGAGACAGGGCTGTATTCTGTGTTGACCATGGCCGTGGTGGCATCTTGCTGGCTTTCGGGAAGAGGAGAGTAAGTCATCATCGGGTCGAACGGCGGCATGCTCTCAAAGAGAAGCCCTTTGTCTTCTGACAAAAGGTCTACTCCTTGCAGGTCGCCCATCAAGCCAATCCCTGATGCCATTTCACCGGCATCCTGTTGGTCAAGGCCAGATGTGAGCTGCTCGTATCCAGTTCCTTCAGGCAAAGGCACTGGAATTTGTGCCTCGGGTCCATCGATGTTGGTCAAAGGAATGTTCGAAGAGTACGCATCTTGAAAGAAAGCATCCTGAAAAAAAGTATCTTGAGAATCATTGTGGGAGGCTGGTAGGTAGGTGTGAGTCTGCTGCGTCTTCACAGGAGCGTCGTAGGGTTAACATACATTCGCCCTCAGAGAAGATATCTATCTCCATGCCTGCCCGGGCTTTTGTAGCGCGGTCACTTTAGGCTCTTTGCTTTTATGTCGAGACGTAAGTGACGTTTGTGGACGGATTATGGCGGACGCCAAAATTAGGAAGGACGCGCTGTCACCGGCCCCTTATTTATCGTCCGCATGCGGGAAAGCTTGTCGATGCTGTATATGGCCTCCTCAGCCCAACACCTAGTATTAAATCAGTATTAGGCATCAATCATGTGGCCTTCAGAAATCAAGCGGCAGGGTCGGCAAGACGTTCAGGCCAATGTTAATAGAAGTGGACACAGCCTTCTGTAGGATGCGTCGCTGGAAGCTTACAATGAAGACACTAAGTATGCGGGAGTCCTACCGGGCTTATGCAAGCGCATCTAACCGACCAGTGATAGGCATCGATCATGCACGACGTAAGTTTCTCCTCATCAGTACCTCGTCTTCACATCTCATAGCTCCGTCATGCCCTAGGTCATCGGCAAGGAGGTGGGTGCCCAAAAAGGCCACACTCCTAAAACATGAGCTCATTTCGAGTCGCTAAACCATACTTTACATTGGCTTCAAACTATTGAAAGTAGATGATTTGCACGTCCAGAAGCATCTTCTGCTCATGGCTTGATATAGCACGCATCTCCTCGGCAGACGTGGCACTGTAGTGTAGGCACTTAGATTGCATTTGTGACGCCAAATCACACTCAGTGTTCAGCATAGTTGTCGATGGATAGTCGTCCATCATGGGCAACGCCGGTACGGGACGCGCCGAGATTAGGTTGTGACCGCACTCAGAAATGCCCTGGTCACGCCCAGAGACGTGCATCATCAGGTTAGGTTCCACGGCAGGCGACTTCAGCCAAACTGCAATGAGTGCTTCAACTACGGTAGAACAATCATTGCTAGACATGAATCAGCAGTCATCTCAATCAACGACGATTGCCCACCATCCTTTCCACGTTGGCCACCTTCACTTCGGCTTCTTGCATCAGACAAATCCTTTTCAGATGTGAATGATTTGGAGTAGTAATCGCAGCCAGATACATACCATCTGATCACAACTTGTCCTCCATGGATCTGTCTCCTGATAGAGGGATTGACGAAGCTATAGGACAGTGAAAGGCGAATTTGGTGACGTAAACTTTTGGCTAGAAAGCACGTAAGCCAGTAGTAGCGTTTTATCTGACTCTGCATCCAACCTGTTTTCCTAACCCCGCATGTCCACGTGACTCAGTTTCCTCGTGAAAGGGTGGAAGAAGACAATTTTATATCATCCGCTCTAATTTCCAAAGTTCTCTAGACGGAGAGTTAATTCATAACACTTGAAGTCCGAAGATTTTAACTCATGTCAATGAACAACGAACGCTGCACCGTACCTTCGAGGACTTGACAACATGGCCGCGAAGCATGGGAACAAAGAATATTACGCAGTCTTAAAAGGGCGCATAAACGAACCTACTATCTTTTCGTCATGGTAATTACTCCCTTGATAAAGATCTGTGTATAGCAGAAGCTTAGTTTAGTATCGATAGGGGAGATGTACATCCACGAGTCACTGGATGTGAAGCCGAGTACAAAGCCTTCTTCACGATTGAAGAGGCACAGAATTACATGGAGAAACAAAAGATCCTGAAACCTAAAAAGGTTATCAAGGAGGGAGCGGGCGGCACTACGCCAGAACGTGATAGCGAGGCCTTCTATGCTGTTGCGCACGGTCGACGACCTGGCATATATCCGTATTGGAAGTACGAGTTTCCCTCATTGATGAGGTGCCGACTGATATAACTGACAGGATACAGTGGGGAGGAAGGCTCAAAGCTGAATGTCGAATACATTTCTGGTGGTTGTCACAAACACTTCAGAACAAAAGCCCAAGCACAGGCATTTATCGAGGATTGGAAACAGTCTTTCGCTGATGTGTATCAAGCGGCGTTGAAGGAAGCATTGGAT